TTTATATAATGGAATTGGTGGTGGCAAAGATGAAAATAAAGCAATAGATTTTTTTAAACAAGCTGCTTTCAACGATGAGGAAGCAATTGATTTCTGTGAAAAGAAAAATATTGAATATCCTATCTCTAAAAACAATTATTTAAGAACATTTAAAACTTCATAAATCAAGAAATGAATGTAATAAAATTGAAGTAGAAGAAAAAAATCGTAAAATATTTACTGAACTTTATAATATTAGGTATTGTTTTCTTCTGATTGAAATTCAATTAATTATGAGTAATAGTAATAATTTACAATTATATAAATGTATATTTTAGGCAATTCGAATAACATTCTAAAAGATGTCCTCAAAAAAAAAACCAGATGAACCTTCTTGTGAACAAGAATTCAAAAAACTGTTTAAAAGAGCAATTAAGGCTTATGAAAGTCAAGAGTTCAAAACATCTTACAACTCTTTTCAATCTGTCGCCTTTGGACCTAAAATAGAAAATACAGTATTAGCATTTGATGCTAAATATTTTTTGGCAATCCATTTGATGTTTGGGTTGGGAGTTAGTCAAAATCCAAATGCTGCACTTAGACTTTTTAACGAAGTTTCCAAAAGTAATTCTAAATACAAAAACGAAGCCAAGGAACGCTTTGATGTTTGGGTTGGGAGTTAGTCAAAATCTAAATGAAGCACTTAGACTTTTTAACGAAGTTTCCAAAAGTAATTCTAAATACAAAAACAAAGCCAAGGAACACTTGAAAAATTAACAGTTCAATTATAATCTTAATTTGGTTTATTTTTATGATGGAGATAAGTTTTACAATCTTGTTATTATCCATAAACCTCAAGGCCTATCAAATTTATATGTTTCTGAATTTGTTAAAGAGAAAAAAAATATATCTGTTTTCTTTGATTAGATCCTAAGTTGTTTTTTTGTGATATGACAAAGCTTTTATAAAATCTATATTTATTATCATCAGTTATAAAATTCTTTAAAGTGGCAATTTAAACGAATACCTTTCGACTAAATAGCTCTAATTAAGATTGAATTTGACTAGTGTAAAATGAAAAACTTAATTTTTAAGAGTACATAATTTTTTTAAAAAAACATTTTTTTTATATTTAACTTATAACTTTGTTTTTTTCATTTTCATCTGCTTTCAGTGCTCCTTTTTCTTCTTGTAAAACCTTTTCAATTTTTTATAATTATCATTATTCAAATAATTATATAATTTCTGTGTTTTCAATGTTTTTCTTAAGCTCAAGCCTAATTGCAGTTACATCTTTTT